TTTCTTCTGGTGACATTGAGGAGAGAAAACCCAGAAACCCTTTTTGCACACAGCTGTAAATTAATGGCCCCATTTTGATTGCCTCATTGAGTGGGAACCACAAGTTCACGGTTTAGTGCGAAAAGATAACAGGAAGAGGCGTTTTTCAATGAAGCCGGCATTTTTTTCCCTTTAAACAACAATTAATGACTGTCCGATGGGGATTTAACTGGGAGCTTGGGGGTAAGGCTGGGATGTTGGGCAGAAGAACCGAGATCAGATCTCAGAGGATGCAAATATGGGATTGGATGGGACCAAATGCAGAGTCGCGCTGGTTTGAAAGTGAGAAAAGCCAGGGCCTCTGCTTTCCCTGTGGCCTCAGTGGGTAGACGGGGTGGACCTGATTCCCCCAGACCTACTCACTGGGTCAGGGAAGGAGACCCAGACTGCCCGCCAGACTCGAAGCCAACTGTGAAGTGCAGTGCATCGCCTTGCAAATTTCCTAGAGCTCAGGGTTAAAGAATCACCTGAGATTTGGGGACCTTTGGGGTATCCTGATTTAGCATCTCATTCAAATATTTTAGACATACATAGGTTCAGCTCTAGGTCTCAGTTCAAAACTCAGTTCAATACAATAGTTAACATTTGACTGGAGTTTCATTAACAGTTCCCTTCACCTCGAGCGTTTTCTTCAGCTTTTGCTTCACAGACTAGTCCACTGTGGGTCATTCGTTTATTCATTGGACATTCAACTGATATTTCCCAAGCTGTGGGCAAAGTGTGAGGCGCTCAGAATGCAAAGCTGAATTGGACAGAGCATAGCAAAGTGGAAAAAGAAAAACTGGTTTGAATTATGACTCTGCCACTTACTAGCTGTGTGGCCTTGGGCAAAACATTTCTCCTTCCAGGTCTCCGTTTTCTTATCTGTGAAATGGGAATAATAATCCCTTTAATGTATTTACAGCACTTGGTGCATGGTAGGTGTTCTAGAAATAGGGGATGTATTTTTACCCCAAGCCATAACAGGCTGGACAAAGCTAAGTGCTCTGAACGTCCTGGTGGATCAAGGCAGTTCTGGATTTTAATGTGATGTCCTGAGGATAGAGGCGGGGTTACTGGGAGAAGTTTCAGCCTGCAGGGGGCCCCCAGCTGGCCGCTGATGAGGTACTTGGTAACCTTTGTGAATTTTCACATCTCCAATGTAGTTTCGAGGACAGTGTCCACAATGCGCCCTACAGAGTGAACTGCAGATCCTCAGCGCTGGAAGGAATGCAGACCTGACCGACACCCTGATCTTACAGAGTGGGGCTCTCATTCCATCTGTAACTTGGAGAAACACCTGCTGGGCTTCCCCCAGAGGGAGTGTCGTCTACTGGTGAGGGGTGAACTGGATTCAATCGCAAACTTTCAGCTCTCAGACGTGGCCGATTAAATTAGAGAAGTTGCTTAGCTTCTTCTCGCCTCCATTCCCATATCAACGTGGATAATAATGGTTACATTGAAAAAATTCATGTCAAGATTTTTCATAGTTCTCTAATTTAATAAACACCAGCTGCTGCTATTATTATTGTTAGCTTTAAGAAGGCCACGGTCAGGGCTCCGCAGTCAAACCTGGACACCCGATTCAAGAAGAGCAAGGCTGTCTGGGAACTAACTCTCTCCATCTCGCTTTCGCTGGAAAAACAGTAGTTTCTAGAATGCATAGGCAGAGTAACCTTTGCATATGAAGAACAGCTCTCTGTGTATACAGAGAAAGCAAGCCTGTATTGATTCAGACCACAGAGCGAGCCAGTCTAAATTACAGTCAGATCAGAAAAGAAGGCAATTTTATTACCTTCAGTCACTCACGTGGCTTATCAATGGGCGTCGGAGCACACGTTCTACAGGGCTGACTTAATGAAGGTACAAAGCCCGTTTGTAATTCGCAGCATCCATTTGTGTGCCAACAATTCATATGTGAAAGTCAACATTCAATGACAGCAACAGCATTTAATTTACAGGGCAAATTGTCCTTAAAAACAATTTATGCGGCAAGCCGCTCCTGCAGGCTGCCTGCTTAGGTGAAGCGTGGATTTGCTTAGCAAATGCTTTCTTCGAAGAGAGTGCCGGAATCAAGCAGGGCCCCAGCCCAAGTGCTAGACACCAGGTGGGGCTCTTAAATTAAAAATAGAAATACCATATGATGCAGCTGTTCCACTACTGGGTGTTTATCCAAAGAACATGAAATCAACAATACAAAGAGATTTATGCACCCCTATATTGATTGCAGCATTATTCACTATAGCCAAGGCATGGAAGCAACCCAAGTGCCCATCAATGGATGAATGGATAAAGAAGATGTGGTATATATACACAATGGAATACTACTCTGCAATAAAAAAGACGAAATCATGCCATTTGCAACAACATGGATGGACCTTGAAGGTATGATGTTAAGTGAAATAAGCCAGACAAAGAAAGACAAATACCACATGATTTCACTCATATGTGGAAGATAAACACATGGATAAGGAGAACAGATTAGTGGTTACCAGAGGGGAAGGGGGTGGGGGGTGGGCAAAAGGGGTAAAGGGACACATATATATGGTGATGGATACAAACTAGACTACTGGTGGTGAGCACGATGCAGTCTATACAGAAATTGATATATAATAATGCACACTTGAAATTACAGAATGTTATAAAATTCATGTAAATTGATGACCTCAATAAAATAATAATAATAATAATAATAAAGAAACAAACAAAAGATATCCCAGAACAAACCTTTGAGACCCCAGGGGAGACTGGAGAGGGGGCCTCTTCCCAGGTTATGCCCAGGTAGACATGACACAACCCTGTAGCCAGATTCTGTGTTTCTGGGGTCATTGGCAGGTCCTAGAAATTTTCGGAGTCCCAAACGATGTGGCATTTCTTCTTAGAGCAGTGTTTTCCCAAAGGGGCTGCTTGGACCCTCCACATCTGAATCCCTGGGGGACCGTTAAAAAGCAGACATTTCCTTCCCCCATTCCCATTGCGGCAGATATCTCAAAATCTCCTTCACACACATCACTACCTCACAATAACGGGGTTATCAGAGCTGCTGCTAAATCTTGGTATACAATGTGCTAATAAAAAAGCCCAGAACTACTATACCACAATTTAGATGAAAAATATTTCAGTAACTGAATTTTAACATAATTGGTTTCCTTTGTAAACGTATGCACGTATTTTACGCATTTAAAAATATTATTCTGAGGGAGAGTCCATAGGCTTCACCAGATTGCCAAACGGGCCCATGGCATCCAAAAGTCTAAGAACAATCGTATGACTGACCAGTAGCTGGAAGACCCTGTGACTGGAGGCATCTTGTGACTTCAGGGGTTTGATGAGAACGGAACCACAGTCTCCAAAGTCAGGAGCCAGGGCAGCAGCTCTCTCGTGACCATAAAGGGCTCTTGCAGCTTGAATCAGCTATGACTTCCCCTTGCAGAGGCACGTGCCATGTGCTAAATGGAGGGTGTGTATCCTGGGTATACAGGGAGTTCTTTTGGGAAGAGGCACAAGTTGACTTCTGGATCCTGAATCCTTTTATAGCTCAGGATTTTCTAGAATTTCACACCAACTCATACTTGAACGTAATCTAGCATTTCTGAGATCAATGCTCCAGTCCCATCAGGAACTAACACACAGCAACAATCAATTGGATCGTAAGTTAATGCAGTTTGATTTTCCTCTGGTTGGCCAAACTCAGAGAGCACAGCCCTGAATTAGGGGTGCACGAGCAAGGCAAGTCGTTGCCCAGACTTGAGATACCCCAGCCTTCTTGACAATCCCTCCCTTCTCTCTACCCTTCTGCTCTTTTCTTTCTCTCTTTCTCCCTCTCTCTTTCCCCCTCTCCCTCTTTCCCTCTCTCTCTCTATCTTCATATTTCCTGCGGGCCTACTATGTGCCAGGCAGTACTTTGAGTGCTGAAGTTCCATCAATGAACAAACCAAATATCTCTCCTCTCAGTGAGAATACATTCTAGTAGGGAGAAATCGACAATTGGAAAAAAAATGAGTAAAATCTAGTGCGACTAGGGGGAAGTGGAGAGGGGAGTGACTGCTAATGATTACTGACTGGGTTTTTTGTTGGTTGATGAAAATGTTCTAAAATGGGTTGTGGTTATGGTGGCACACCTCAGGAAATATACTAACAACCATTGAATTGTACACTTTAAAGAGGTGAACTGTATGTAAATAATATCTCAGTGAAGTTGTAATTAAAAAATAAAAAATATTAGAGGGAAAGGTGTCCTCAGGGTGTTATAATTTTCAATAGGGTGTCCAGGGAAAGCCTCATTGAGAAGGTAACATTTGGGTGAGACTTGAACGTAATGAGGGAGCGAGCCACGTGGATATCTGGAGGAAGAGTGGTCCAGGAAGAGGGAACAGTAAGTGCAAAGGTCCTGAGGTATGCCTGCTGTGTTCAAGGAATAACAAGGTGCCAGGGTGGCTGAGGTCGGTGGGCCTCAGGGGAGAGTGGAAGAAAACGTCTGAGGGAAGGTGGAGGGCCTGGAAGCAATTCTCAGGACTTTGATTTTTCCTATGGGTCAGATAGAAAGCCAGTGGAGGATTCTGAACAGAGAGAGGTGATCTGGCATATGTTTTAAATGGATCCTGTCATGGAAACCAACAGGGAACAGCCACCATCCATAGAGAATTTACTGTGTGCCAGGCACCGTGGCAAACCCCTTTACAGGCATTAGCTCACTGAATTCACCTCTAAGCTGGGTACTATTATTTTCTCTATTTTATATAAAAGGAAACTGGGGCTCAGAGAAGGTTAGGAACTTGACCCACATCAGTGGGAGAACCAGGAAATCTCCCAGGCCTGCCTGACCCCAGAGCCCTCGCCTTCCCCACAGCCATCATTGGCCTTGGTTTGTGCATACAGCAGGTGCTCAATAAAAGGTGTCACCTGGCTGGTTACAAAGCACTGCCCTGAAGGTGGTTGGCGCCTTGGGCACACGGAGGGCCGGAGAACCAGTGTCCACTTACTCAGTTCTGAGATGCTGCCCACGCGGGTGGCCAGCAAGGATTGCTCGATGGTCCTCAGCTCCGACTGGCTGAACATGGGCAGCTCTCCCGGCTTGCTGGACCGCTGGGGGTCTCTGTGGAGGTTCAGGCTGTCTGGCAGGCACAGCACTCCTGCGGTCGGCGGGGAGAGAGAATGAAAGAGAAACAGATCGTTATTTTTCGGTGAACCAAAGGAGGCGCGCAGAACCTCGCACAACCTCAAACCGCACCAGAGTCGGTACCGCCCAGCCAGCATGAGAACCAAGGCTCTGGGCCCCTTTTAGAAATGATGTCTAGCTACTTAAAAAGGTTTCCCCAAGTCCTGACCTGCTGATTTTAACAAGCATGGGGGTACTCATCTGTATGCACACACGTCCAAAGGACACAAAATAGAATCCTTCCCTCGGGCCTGCGAGGGTTCTATTCACTCAGAGATGCCCCTTGAGAAGCCAGGGGTCGCTGTCCCATTCTCTGTCCCAGAGGCAGCTGCCATCCCTGAGGGCCCTGGAGGAAGAGTCTCTGCTGGCAGTCCCTTCTGAGAGCTTGCTTCTTCTGCCCAAGAAATTTAACTCCGGGTGGCTGGGCTGTTATCTGTTAGACGAGGCTCTGGCTCTCTCTGCAGAGCTATATGTCAGGAAGCAGAAGAGTCCCCACGGACTTTTGTGACTTGTATGGTGAATACCCAATTATTCTCTCCCCTTCCTTTCCATTCCATGGACATTAAGCGAGAACCTGAGAACTTACTCTGGTAGGTTATTCAGAAATATTCACTGTTCCCATCACAGCCCCAACCTCCATAGACAGAGCACACTTCCTTTCTCCTTGACTTTGGACTTGACTTACTTTGGCCAAAGGTATGTTAAGGGACACGGTGGAACCCAAGGCCTGAAAAGTGCCTGTGCAGTTGAACTTGCTCTCTTGTGCCTCTGCTGTTATCATGAGACAAACACGCCCTGGCTAGCCCGCTGGTCTAAGGAGGGTGAGAGACACACGGAGCAGATCCAGGAACAACCTGCAGCTTAGAGCTGCTCCACAAAAACAAATGCTAACTTGGTATGCCCTTGAGATACTGGGGTTGTTTGTTACTCAGCATTATTATGGTGGTAACTAACAGATACACCTACCAAGAGCCAATCACTGAGGATACAAGGCAGGCAGGCATCATGCTGTTAGGGACTGAGGATACAGTGATAGACAGAATACACATACTCCCTGCCCTCAGTGGGCTCACAGTCTAAGGGAAGGAGACAGACACTTATACATATAACTACAAAGCCATAGGATACATGCCCTATGGCAGGAGAAAATGAGGAATAAAGGGATGTCTTAGCAGGGACCTGAAGAATGAGTAGTTGTCAATAAGTAGACAGCACTTATTGAGTGCCTACTGTATTCCCAACCATGCTAGGCATTTTGGACATGCAAAAGAAGCAGAAGACATACTTAAGAAGGTAGTTCAAGTCCACTCCTCACCCTGCTCGAACCACAAAAGCTCACCTAACAAAGGTTCCTCTCCCAAAGATGGGCAGGCATGAGGTGGCCCTGTCACACACCTCTTCTGGCCTGTGCTGCCTAATTAGTGACTGCAGCCACACTTGTGCCTGGATGTTTCGTCTTCACACCTAGAAGGCTGCCATAATGGGAAAGGCAAACATAGTAGAAGTTTTTTGGATGAATAATGAATAAATGGATGAATGATGCAAAGGACCATTAGATTTTAGTGTTTCTATAATCAGGAAACTGGTCAAATAAATTCTCTCTAAGATTGTTCTTTAACCATTGTTTTTCAAACATTTGTGCCTGTGATTCAGAATAAGAATGTATTTTATATCACGGCCCTGTACACACACACACACACACACCCCACCCCACCACCACCACATACTTTTCATGTTTTCCATGGAAAAAAAATTCATGGAAAATAATACCGATCCTTCCCATGTAGGATTCAACTCTCAATTTTTTTTTCTTTTCACTTCTCTCCTCTTCTATCTTATTAACAAACATGCTGGTCTCCAGCACCAAAAGTGATTTCATGACCCACTAATGGGTCATGATGGGTAGTCTGAAGAACACTGTGGACTGTGCCAGCATACAACTTGGCATTAATTGGGCAACACAGATTCATCATTTACTGGACACTACCCAGTGCTGGGCTAGGCTCCACACGGGATGCAGAGATGACTGAGAGGCGGGCCCTGCACTTCAGGAACCCTCAGCCTTTAAGGGGAGATAAAACCTTCACAGAAATGCCTGTCTTCCAAGGCCAGCCTCCTCCCTGTCCCCTTTCCCTTAACAGCCAAGTCCTTCTCCTGTTCACCCCGGGCACTGACGCCCTGAGTCATCCCTGCTTCCTCCTGTTTGCTCACCTGCCGAGACATCTGGTTGGAGGCCAAGTCAAGCAGCCGTTGCCATGGCAATGAACATTGGGCCAATCCCTCATCTGATGCCCCTGATACCTCTGACTCTAATTCAGAGCACTCACTGCAAACGGCACCAGATGATTATCACCCAGTGTCATAAGTGACCCAAGGTTCCGGGTGATGAAGTCCCCCTGGGGAAAGGGGGTGGTTGTCAGGGGGCTTCACAGCAAAGGAGATGCGTGAGTGAGCCCTCAATGTCGGGGAAGATGAAGTTTTCTAATTAATAGTACAAATGACCTTTACATGTACTTACAGGATTGCTTTCTTGGTATCTACATTATGTGCAGCAAGTTCTTATCCCAGATCTGCATCTTAAAACGTTGCTTCATATGTTGGTTGAGGCACAAGCAAATAGGACTTGGAGCCTGGAACCCAGAGTTTCAGTCCTGGCTCTGCCACTTCCCCCCTATGTTTAACCTTGGGCAGGTCACAGAGCCTCTCTGGACCTCAGTTTCCTCTTCTGTGAAATGGGGGTGAGAGTAGAAGCCTTGTCTCCTTCACAAGGTTGCTGGAGGTGGGGGATGAAATGAGATAATGTGTACAAAAGTATTTTGCATGTGCTGAGTGAAGAGTAGGTATTCAACATATGTTAACTGAGGGGAAAATCAATTAATGTATATAAACCCAGCTTTGGACTACTTTATGCTTTATCATAAGAATAAATAATTTCCCTTGGGATTATTCCTTCTTCTTTTAGAGGGTCATGAAATTTAAATGTGAAAATATAATTATTCAAAGAAGCTTTGAAAGCTAGATTACTGAGATTTGGGAAACCTATAATTGATCTATTATGCAAAGATTATATACCAGAGTTTTCTTTTTTTCTTTCATTTTGAGAATTCTATATGTGGTATACACATAAACTAGAGTTATTTATTTTTTGTATAAAAATCAGCTAGGTCAACAAGAAGGTCCGAGCATCATATTTTAGTGTCAGATGCAGGCCTGAGTTTTGAACAACTCATCAATTTCCATTATTGGAGCCAAGGACAGCTACAGCCTAGTGATGAAGACTCAAGTTCAAAAACAGGGGGAACCAAGGTTCAAATATGACTTTGACTGGACTTAAAGGAAATAATTTCCCTGGAGAGCAGGTGATCATAAGCTAGGGTCCATGATGGGCTTGAAGGGGTCATGGTCTCCCTGAAATTCTATTACTTTGGGGTGGGTTGTGCATTTGTCTAAGAGGGAAGTTCATTCACATTCTCAAAGGGGTCTGTGGGTCCTAAAAGATGAGGAGCTAGTGCCTTTGGGTGTCCACATTTCTAGCCATAAGCAGATCTCTCTGCTGTGGGACTGACCTGGCTGGAGGTGGGACAGAGGGGGCCTCGGATAACCATGGGCTCTGATGGAGCCGAGCTCCAATCCTGCCTCAGTCTCTTGTGCAACTTAGAAAAAGAACTTCCCAGAGCCCCAGGCAGCTTCCATGTCTGCCAAGAGGGGTTAAAATATCTACTTCATCGGTTAATTGTGGTGATTGAACAAAATAATATACTTAAAGCCTCTGGCCTATAGTAAGTGCCTGATAAATACACTGTTCCCACAAATGTGCAGTTTTGTTTATTTCATGTCTGGATTCAAACAGGCTTGCAGATCATCTTTCCGAAATCTTGTGTGACTAGAGACAGACGACCTTCTGGTTAGGTCACTTAGAACATAAAATATGAGAACCGTGCCTCTGAGTGGGCCCCTTGGGAAACCACGTCTGGCATTCTGTGTCCCATGGGGGCAACAGGGGTGCACTTCTGCCTCCCTATATGCCCACTTTCCCATATGCATAGGACAGCCTCATAGTAAACATAATGCCCTGCCATCTTTTCTCTCCTCTCAGCTTTTCTCTGCGTCTCCATTCTGTTATTGGGCTTGGATGCTATTTAGCCACCAAGAGAAAACCAAATAAGACAGCCACCAGCATCATCCATTCTCCCCTCAATGGCGATGTTGATGATGGTGATGAAGGACAGGAAGGAGACTAGGTACGTCCTGGCACCGTGGCCCCCGGCTTGGTTTCTGCCTTGTCTGTCTCTGGCTGCAGGAGGAGAATGACACTGCCAGTGCTGCCTGCCAAGCCAGACCCTGTTTTCTGCTAAGTTTTCCCCAGAATTTAAAGTGGAGGGTCCTGGCATCAGTCCCAGCTTTACGAAATGGGAAGGGAGCAGCTGGGGTGCAGCAGACCAGCCCTTGAACAGGCACCAGATAGACCTGGCTGGGTTCAGATTCCCGCCCTGCCATCTCCCAGCTGTGTGGCATGGGGCTCATGACTTGGCTCCTCTGAACCTCCGTTTCTCCCCTGTAAAATATTTGATGCTATCTACCTCCTAGTGTGGCTGGGAGGCTGTGTGGGATAAAATATACGGACAACCTGGCACAAAAGAGGGAGTCAATAAATGTTTGCTAATAATCCAAGTGAAGTTCTTTGAAGCCAAAGATTTAGGAATTCAATAACACAGTGCCAGAAGGCTTTCTTTTACTGTTAAATTTATTAAGAAATAAGATAGGAAGTTATCAGATTTTTTTTTAATGTTTGCACAACCGGCTTGGAAACCCGTTTTATTTTAAGAGACTTGGCAGTGGGAAACAAATTCAGGGCTGGCTTGGTGAACCCATTCATCTGTGAGAGGCAAGCCGTACTCCATTTAGGATAAACCCAGACCATGGTTCATTTTTAGCCCGCAGAATGAATTACACTCCAAGGGAATGTTCTTAGGA